TAATTTTAATGTAATAATATCTGGAGCACCAGTGCAGTTTGTAGCATAAGAACAGTTTAACTGTTAGTTGGACTAACAGATAACGTGCAATTCTACTGTCAGTGTTTTTAAAAGCATGCTGAAAAATTGTGGAGGACAGCTAGAGGTAAGAAATAACTTTGTGGACTGAAAAAGGTATTTCACAGTGGAAACAGACAACCTACTTAATTTATCAAGATGTAGTAGGCAATAATGTCTTTGAAGCATCCACAGAGAATTAAGATAATGCTGAGGTCTAGTTGGATGGATGAATGTCTGTTAAGATTCAGTCACTGCAGGCTAAACTTTGATATTCTCAAACTGGAAATAATACTAATTCTTAAGAGGATTTTTTTGTATCAAGTGGGGTTGTGGTATACTGCATTTGTAAGTAGCATTTGCTGTATTAGTTGTCATTCTGAAAGAATTTGAAACCGTGCAGATCTGTTCTCACGCCATTTCCGGCTACATGTCCCTCTTTTGTACTCTCCTTGTGTAAAGATAAGGCTGAAGAGAGATCTGTTTTTCTGACTTGACTCCTCCTCCTACGAACTGCTGGGGAAGTGAACCTCCTTTGCACTCAGCCTCTCAGGCTTTGTGCATATGTGGGTCCAACTGTGTGCAAGGCATCAATAAAGCTTTTGCTGTGTGCAAGATGTAAGCCATAGCTTTGTTTGGGGCCTGTATTTGCAGTTCATTAGCCTGGCTTGTTCTGCTCTAGCATCTGCACAGAGCTTGGAATACATCTCATATTTGAAGCTGTCTTGGTGCAGTGTGCATCTGATTGGCTGGCGCTCACCTCCTATCTTGGTTTTGGTCTTTGTTGCACAAATCTCCTTACTGAATCACCGAGGAGTCGTTCGAAGCACTTTGCATTGGGCTACAGGGAAGTCCGGGAAGGCAGTATAGCAGGAGAACAAAATAATGCGGTCATTTGGTCTGACATTCAAATCTCTGCTTTGACTTGGATGGATCAAACCTTTCTGCAATATAGGGCCACATTTATGACTACAAGTGGCAGAGATTTTATAACAATAAGAATTCACAGAGTAGCCACATCTGTGGAGTTTTAACCTGGGGGGTTTGGAATCCCAATGTGTGGCATAAAAGCAATAGAATTTGAACAGGAACACACAGGAAAAAATTGGAATGTATGAGTGAGATTCAGAAACTTCTGTTGGAAACCTATTAGAATATTTTGCATAGGGGTGCTGCTGTCTCTCCTTATGAGTAACTCATCTTTAGACAAAAATGACAACGCAGAGACATTCAGGCAGATGAGATTAAATTGGGTCATAGTGTAGAATAAAAATTTATCTGTCAAATGACTTCAGGTTACAGATAGAGCCAAAATTCTAGATCTTCCATGCAATACATGAAAGTCATAATTAATGAAAACACAGAGGTAAAATGATAAAATAAAATATTTTGAAAAGAATGTTTTTGCATATTACATATTATAACGTCTTAAGAAGATTAGACAAGATTTGTGAAGACAAGAGTAAAAATGTAATATCACTAAAACAAGAATTATTATATAGGTGACAGACAAGCACAATTACATATTTTTCAAGCAATAACAAAATAAGAATTCAGGATACCCTAGAAGTACAACTAATTTTCTATTTCTGTACAAGTCAAGATGTGTTTCAGTGTAACATCTTAATCAACGACCAGGACAGCTGGACAGAACGCATCTTTATCGGGGTTGCAGGTGACACGAAAATGGGGGGAGCAGTCAACACACTGGAGGGTAGGGGTTTTATTCAGAGCAACCATGTCTTGTCAAAACCAGTGTTTTGCGAGAAAGCAAGCAGGCTTAGCTTTCTGAACTGTTAGCTAAGGGGAATCTGTTTGTGGTTTTTTTCACAGACTATTGGAAGCCTGTAACAATTCAAGCCATGTCTCCAGAACTGGTAAAAAGGTTCTGGTTACGAATGCCCAATCTGAGTTTTCTGTCTGCTTTAATGTGTGTGGGTAACCATGAAGCAATTCTTTGTTCTTAATGTGCTAGAAGTGCAGGTGTGTTATAAGGAGTATGAAAGGCATTCTCCCAAAATTAATATAAAATTTAGGGAAGTGTAAGGGAAGAAGCGGTGAGGAAACAATTTTGCATGAACATAACAGTGGAAATTAAAATGTGTTAATATGCTGGCATTTTTTGCCATTAAGGACTTGGTTTATTTGCTTATAATCCCATATGGCAATACTTTATAGCCTCATGTACCCTTAGTTGCTGATGCATGGTTCTCTAACACCTGTTTTGTGGCTGGTAAAATTGTTCATTTCTGTTCAAAAGAAACACTTCTTACTAGTGTTACTCACAGGAACTCTCAATCTTCCATACTGAGACTAGGCAAGATTCTGTGATCTTTCTTAGGAAAATAGAAGAAGCTGATGTTAGCATCTCTCTGCTATTTGGAGGAGCTAGCATTTCAACATCGAACATGATGCAGCTGGAATGAACTGTTAAGGATGGGAGAGATCCAAGGACTGTTTGTAAAGGGAGAAAAAATGGCATATAAATACTCTCTTTTTCACCTCTAGCTGTGTAAGAAAATGATCTATAAAATCTGCAAAAATCATTCACTGGGAATGAGTTTGCGTCCAAGGGAGCCAGTCTGTGTTACCAGATTCAACACGATTCCAGGACATGAGTTCCTATTGATCCGGACCACTATCAGATATATACTGATCTATATACTATTACTTAAACTGTATACTCACCCCACTAAGCATAGAAACTCACAGCTGAATTAACACTTTTTGGTTTGGCCTTGCACTGTAAGATTTACTTTTGTGTTGCAAGCAGAATTCCCCAGGCACTGATGCTTATCCCCTGGCAGAGATGATGTCCTGCCAGATGGAAAATCTGTCAACATTTGTTTGGGTAATGAAGTCTTTACAAATATTTGGCTCATTGCCATAATTGTTTGGCACAGACAGCAGAAAATGTAGAAGCTTCACTCATGCATAAGGATTCATCTGCTTACACTACAGTTAAAGGGGTGAACAGTCATTAGGAGAAAAGGAACACTCTAGATGTTCATATAGCCTTGAATTACGTGAAAATTGTGAGTGAATGCACTCAGAGATTCATATAGATATGAACCAACTAATTTGGGTATTTATTTTAACTTTTTTAGAATAGCTAAGTGTCCAGCCAAAACCCTTAGGTGCATTGCCATCTTTTAGAAACTTGTCCAAAAATATACTGCACAAATGCTTATCTGGAGCTCAGCTTCATATTAAGACTCCTTCTATTTGCAATTCATGACAGTTTCCACATCCAGTTAGATACATAGTGAAAGCTGCGTTTAAAAACAATAAGGGGATTTATGTCTGTTCAGGCTACCTCTTTTCACAAAGTGTGCAGGAACTGAGTATTCTTTCAATTAAAGCCTTCTGTCACATTCTGCTAATGTTGACCAGTGGGCTCAGGTTTTACTAGGAGACCACATGGTGTGATAGAACATACGGGTTTTTTTCTTCCCAGGAGAGTGAGGCAAATATTGGGACTCACATCAGAAATAATCAGACTCGGAATGAAAAATAGTGGGTTTATGACAAAAAGGAGTCAGTGGTCTCCTTGTATTGTTTAATGGTTATCTCCTTTTACTATAGATTGCGTTCCAGAGCACAAGTGCATAATCAGTTGTGTTACTAGGCAGATGGATTGTTTGCCATTGTACAACCTGGAACTTTTATCAGAGCTGATGGCATTATTACTGGATCTAATTCATTGTCATCATCAAGCCTGAAAGGCATGATTATTATGTATCATCCTGCTCAATTGTTCACTAATAGGGTAGGGTGCTCTTTTAGCCACTTAAAGATGGAAGCAGGTGGTTTTGCTACAATTATTTGATAGAACTGAGGAGCTGGAAAGGGCTTAGCTGACCTAAAAGTACTGAATGCTTTCTTAAGCACTCAAGCATCTTAAACACCACTCATCTAGATTCTTTTCCATCTTTTCCATTTTCCATATTGATTTCAACTAAGACACTAAAAATTACAATACTTGTGATGAAAACATTGAGTGGCAAAGACTGAATTATATTGCTATATTGCGGGCCTTTGGATAGCCTTGCCAGATCTTTCCATTACTTCTAAGATGATAGCACAGGGAGAGACGACTACACTTCATAGGAGTCTTCAGATGAGACCTTTGAAGATGCAGGAACATTTATTCATAGTTACTGTCTATCTTCCTGTGGCCTGAGAAGGAGCCAGTGCTGTTTTCATAGTGGTTAAAATTGCCCCCTAAAATGTCTGTTTGTCTGGACTGTCTGCTAGAGTAGCAAGTACTGCTTACCTAGCCCTGCAACACTGGTAGCTGTAGTAGAGGCTTTTTATAACTGGGTTTTAAATTATCTTATGTAGATAATGGTTAATCTTAGAAGTGACTATCCTGGGCTTTCTGTTATCTCCAGTATTTTCTTACTTTGGTCAGAATTTTATGCCATAGTAGGGTGTAACAGATTAAGTTTCACGTGTGCTCTGCTCAGTTGTCAGCTAAGAAAGTCGTGTTCTCTCATGCACAAGTAGTGACCATGGCTCTAAATATTTCTGTGAATTTATAATCTGTAGCTAATTCACTTCTGGGCACAGTATATTTAGCATCTATTAACAGAACAATGAAAGGTTTTCGTTATCAATACCTTCTGGGGACATCATAAATACTGAGATGATTCACCAAGTTCTAATAATTTTCTTGCCACTTTTTATCATACAGGTTCATAGCCAAGAACATTATGAGGCTGCAGCGTCTGGGGATAACCCATGTTCTGAATGCAGCAGAGGGGAAGTCATTCATGCATGTGAACACTAATGCAGAGTTCTATGAAGGCACAGGCATCAGATACCATGGCATTAAAGCTAACGATACACAAGAATTTAATCTCAGTCGCTATTTTGAGGAGGCAGCTGATTTTATTGAGAAAGCACTTTCCCAGAAGGATGGTAAGGCAAACTGAAATATCTTTCTACCATGTTTTCTGTGCACTGCATATGTTTCTTAGCAATTTATTTTACTGTTTAAAATGGTGCTTCGCTCAGATTATCAGCTTAACAACCAAGTCAGGAATTCAGTTCAAGGTTCTGGATCAAAGACACCAGAATACACAATAAGACATCTTAATCTTCTGTCTATACATGAAGGTCTCCAGTATATGGCAAATGGAAGTCTGTCACTTAGGCGTGACTTTGAAAAGTGAAACAGCAGCTGCATCCTATAATACTGCTTTTCTGGGAAGATGTGGTAAATCACATGAAAAAAAAATTTAAAAAAATCAGGATCTAACAGTTGTTTTAGGACAGTAGAAATTATAAATTAAAGGCAGAAGTGATACAAGTAATGCATTGCTGAAGAGTACTCGCACAACGTGCTATAAGGGGTTTTTTTTTCCAAATGTACAGTAAGGATACTGTGGCCTTACAATTTTTATTACATTAAGTTATTAAATTATTTTATGTGATGATTACCACATTATTCCCTAGGATTGCAGGAAGGCTGGAGATGATATTTGCAATGTTGTTGATTGCCACATTTCTCTACAGTGTGTTTCCTCAGAGCAGAAATCCTAGGACATAGGGCAGTGGGCCAGATGGTGTTTGTTGTTGTCTGACTATTTCAGCATACCAGTTACTTCTATACCTGCTTAATTTCTTTCTTGCTTCATGACTGAACATGAAAAAGGAGGAATGAGAACTCCCACAATTCTAGAAGTTCTTTCTCTGACATGGGCAAAAGGGGTACTAGAGCTGTGATATGCTTTTGACAGATGGAAAGAAATTTTACCTCCAGTTTGGTGGAGTATGAAAAATTCTAATCATTGAAACGTGACTCTTCCAGTTGGCATTGTGACTCACTGAAACAGGTTGCAGTAGGAAAGAAGAGTTTAACAGTGCCAGCTGTGCCACAACTGTCCCTATTCAGTTTGATCTAAACAGTTGCAAAGTCAATCTGAATTTACAGTAGCAGTTCTATTTGCTGATTCATTCAGTCTTAGTAGCTGTCTACCATGCCTGCCACTGTTTTCTTTCTGTGGTAAGAAAGGAAGGAACTTTGTAGCTGGGTGATGCTGGAGCCAGTTTTAAGATTAACTTGCCACTGAAATTTGATAGTTTTGTTTGACATTGAAGTGTAGAGTAAGGTCAGTGAAGTGAAGAGGGATGCAGTAGTATTTTCTTTCAATTTCATTTTAGCATTGTACTTGCATGAAGTTCAGGTGTGGTATACTAAAGGTCTGGAAGGCAGCCTTTAACAGAAGAAGGCTTAGAAACCCTTTTGCTTCTGATCATTTGCAGAGGGGAAGTCAATTCTTTTCCACATATATGATCAAGAATCTCTAAATCTTGCTGATTTATGGCTACGGGCTCTCAAGAAATGTTGAGAATGAATTGTTTTAGCTGTTTAACTTGCTACTGATTAGAGATTTGCCTTGAGGTGAGAAGCCTCTGCAGCTCAAGGCAAATGTGGTAACGGGCTATCTGTTGCTATGGTTCAAAGCAAGTTGTGGTTATGATGAAAATGTGTGTGTATGGTTCATCTGTTCCCTTGTCTCAGAAAAAAATTTACTCTGGAGAGTAGCCTGGGGCCATACTCCCATTTGGGAAGGGGAAAATTTTTGTGTCTGGAAAAGCAGGTCAAAGAGGAAGCAGCTGAAAAGCAATAAAATCGAATTAGAGTTCTCAAAGGGAGCAGTGGCCTGCTTTATTATTGTTGGATACCTACCTACAGGATTTACCTATGTGGTGGATTAACTTGGCTGGACGCCAGGTGCCCACCAAGCCACTCTATCACTCCCCTCCTCAGCTGGATAGGGGGAGAAAAATACAACAAAAGGTTCGTGGTTTGAGATAAGGACAGGGAGATCACTCGGCAATTACCGTCACAGGCAAACCCGACTTGACTTGGGGAAATTAATTTAATTTATTACCAATCAAATCAGAGTAGGATAATGAGAAAAAAACAAATCTTAAAACACCTTCCCCCCACCCCTCCCTTCTTCCCAGGTTCAGCTTCACTCCTGATTTTCTCTACCTTCTCCCCCCGAGTGGCACAGGGGGACGGGGAATGGGGATTGCAGTCAGTTCATCACATGTTGTCTTTGCCGCTCCTTCCTCCTCACGATCTTCCCCTGCTCCAGCGTGGCGTCCCACCCACGGGAGATTGTCCTCCACAAACTTCTCCAGCATGGGTCCTTCTCGTGGGCTGCAATTCTTCACGAACTGCTCCAGCATGGGTCCTTTCCATGGGGTGTAGTCCTTCAGGAATAGACTGCTCTAGCGTGGGTCCGCCATGGGGTCACAAGTCCTGCCAGCAAACCTGCTCCAGCGTGGGTTCCTCTCTCCACGGGTCCTGCCGGGGTCCTGCCAGGAGACTGCTCCAGCGTGGACTTCCCATGGGGTCACAGCCTCCTCCAGCACGGGGTCTTCCACGGGCTGCAGGTGGATATCCGCTCCACCGTTAACCTCCATGGGCTGCAGGGGGACCACCTGCTTCACCATGGTCTTCACCCCAGGCTGTAGGGGAATCCCTGCTCCTGTGCCTGGAGCACCTCCTCCCGCTCCTTCTTTACTGACATTGGTGTCTGCAGAGTTGTTTCTCTCACATAATTCTCCCTCCTCTCTCCCAGCTGCTGTTACGCAGCAGGTTTTTCCCCTTCTTAAATGTGTTATCACAGAGGCGCTACCACTGTCGCTGATGGGCTCAGCTTTGGCCAGTGGCAGGTCCATCTTGGAGCTGGCTGGCATTGGCTCTATCGGACATGGGGGAAGCTTCTGGAATCCTCTCACAGAAGCCACCACTCTACCTCCCCCCCGCCACTACCAAAACTTTGTCACGCAAACCCAATACAAACCCAACAAACATGTAGAATGAGTTCCCTAATCAGTTAGCTGGAAGCATTTTATTGGTGCTGGCATAGGTGTGGTTAGATGTTTCTGGTTCTTGTTGCTGCACAGTCAGCAGTTTCATTTACTTGAGTGTTAATGTGGCTTCATGAATAGCCAGAGAAGTAGCCAGGTATGATCCAACATGGACTTACCGTAGGAATTGGCAGCAATGCAGCAAGAAGGCTGGATATCTTTGAAGAGATGCAATATATGACAAACAGCATATTTCTCCGTCTTCAGTATATTTTAAACTTTGCATCATTTATTTGTACTCTTTGGTCCTGGTCATCTTCATGGGCAAGGCTTATTCTAAACCACAGAAGATTGGAGGAGTGTAGTAAATAGACACATAGTAGCAAATATGTTTTAGTGTGAATGTTTGATATAAAACCATTTTTTTCCTGCATTATCCTTGATGACAGACTGTGTAGCTACTAACAGAGTGATAGCACCTTTCTTCCAAGTTCTACATGTCTTCTGTGGCATTCAGAATTTACATTTCTCAAGCTGCTGAAGGACTAATATTATTAGGCTTTATATCCTAGCTATTTCATGTTGCTTTTCAAACATATATTCCAGTATAACCCAAATTATGACCTGTCTTCCCTGCAGGACAAGTGTTTGTGCATTGCCGTGAGGGCTACAGCCGTTCTCCTACATTGGTCATCGCCTACCTCATGCTTCGCCAGAATATGGATGTCAAGTCTGCATTGAGCACTGTCCGGCAGAAGCGAGAGATTGGCCCCAATGATGGCTTTCTAAGGCAGCTTTGCCAGCTCAATGAGCAATTAGTGAAGGAGGGCAAACTGAAGCCCTAGAACAGAGCACCGTAGTATTTTTTGAAGTTTCTCAAACCATCAGAGGACATCTTAGGTGCTTTAGATTCCCAAACCCCAACCACCAAGCTAAATCACATAATGTGAGCGAGACAGAATTCCAGCTCTGGTCTAGTGCAAGTATCTTTCTCAAACTCTGGGTCTGTCTCTCAAGATGGCACAAAATTGTGTCACTGTTCGGACGTGTTGCAATAAAGAGGCGTTTTTAGAGGGGTAACTCCAGTCATAACAGCTTTCTTCACATGTATTTCAGAGCCCCCTGCAGACTCTGTAGCATATGTGGTTTGCATTGACATTGAGTGTGATTCATTTGAGACTTGTCTTGTATCCCACCAGAGCACCCTTTTCTGAGAGCCCCAACACATCTCTTCACACACTCTTAATTGAAGTACTGTATTTTCTAAAGCTTCTTTTTCATGCACACAGGTGCCTAAAGTTTGAGTGTAGGAGCTTCAAGGAATGGAGAAGCATATATACAAATGCACAAATGCACTCGCTTGCAAAATGAATTGTATACAGTGTTGCGTTTAGTGTGGATTTATGCCAATACACAGTGTGTGGTAGTAAAGCCTTTTAGAGCCCAATCTTGATGCACACTGTATTTCCAAGAGTATTTGTACCTCTTGCTGTTGTGATTGACATGAAATAGTCTGATATTAAATGCTCTTCTTTTTTTGTTTTGAAATTGTACTAGAAAAAACCATCAAGAGCAAATGTTGAGGAAAAAACTTGAGCAAGGAAGAAATGATGTCTGTATTTAGGAGTATCCATTTGTACTGGATGTATGATAAAGTCCTAAGTATCAGAATATAATGGCTCCCGAGGCTTGTATTGAATTACAGTGTCTCTCTCCTTTCTTTGCTATCGCTGTTTATTAATGCAGAATGGAATGAGCACATACGCAATTTACTTCCAGTAGGGCAACACAGGTATGCTTACAAAGCAGTTTGCAGAAGTACACTCTTGACTTCTTGGATTGCTTGCATGGTATCATTAAATAGAAATGAGCATTGTTACGTACCACATGGAATAGGAAACATTTCCTTGCTATTAAAATAAATAATGTCTTGATTCTGTTTGACGAACAGATGAAATGAGTCATTGCAATGTTGGGAGAGGGAGCTTTGTTTACCATGTGCCTAACTTAGTGTGTAAATGTGTACCTGTGAGTTATAGCACTGTATTAACGCAAAGGATCTCCCACTGCAAACTCGGAATTGTTGGTTAAGCTAACAGAACCTGAGATCATAGAATCATAGAATCATTAAGGTTGGAAAAGACCTCTAAGATCGTCAAGTCCAACCGTTAACCCAACACCACCATGCCCACTAAACCATGTCCCTAAGCGCCTCATCTACACGTCTTTTAAATACTTCCAGGGATGGTGACTGAGATGTATGTGTTCCCTTTTTATCTGTGCTTTAATGTAGTTCTAGATTGAAAATCTTAACACTATTTTAAACAGAAACACTGTTGTATTAGTAGCACATGTAAGCCCAGATCTAGTTATGTATATTCAGTTCACTAATGAAAAATCACAAAGGACGTACATTGTTTTACTTCTAGTTGTTGGGGTTGTGTGGTTTGGGGGGTGGGGGGGGAGTTCTGTATAGCTAGGTAACTTTCTTGAAATTAAACTCCAGAGTTTCTCTTTTTTGTCCTTTAAAGGGACAACTGGCGAACACTCTACATAGTGTTTCCTTTCACCTCCCTACAGTCAGTCAGTATTTAGTGCTTGCTTTGAATCAGGATGGTTCAGTAATAACATGCAGTAATCAATTTCATTACCTAATTACATATCTGTTTCCTTTCTCCCATTATATCAGTATTAAATTAATTGCCTCTTCAAAATTCCTAGTTACTGATTTCATGCTGTGTAGCTTGGGGAATAGGAATACGGGCCTTATCTTTTCTATTATACTGACTTTTTCATGCTGCAGTCTTACTTATAAATCATCCTTTTAAAATTTTTACTATGGGGATAGATTTTTTTTTTTCTATCTCCTCTCACACCATGTATTCATAATACCTATCGGCACTACAAGAAAAAAACACACGCAACAGAGATTCATGTGCATGCACTTTGTCTTTGACCTGTTATCTACAGCTCAAAAATTCCAGTCCATTAAAGAGTTAAGAAACCATTAGGCATTAGATTTTTGTTACTCTCTCATAGATTGTAAGAAGGCTAATAGTTGTCAGACTACAAACAGAATTGTTTATTAGAATTGAGTCTGTTTACCTTATGGTGATGTTTTTGTATTTGTCAGTATCAAAAAAATACTGACAAATCAAGACATACAGGAATTTTTTCTTCTATTGAAGATGTTCTTTTAATTCATAGGACACTTCAAGTGATAACTTCAGTGGTACTCTGGCCCATTTATCTCAGTATAACAAAACTGACTTAACAAACATTTTGTAATATGAGAGTGGAGAGGAATAAATAAAACAATGCTATAAATTGATTTTAAAAATTGAGCTTTAAGATGGTATATCCTATTTTGAGTGACTCAGTAATGAAACCATTTCTAGCTGTGCAATGTCAGATCACTGCTCCATTAATGGATCATACCCTTCCTCTTTTAGTCTTATCTTGCTTTTTAAGTACAGTAATGTTGCAAATTCCTCTGCCTATTTTAGCTGGCCAAGAAGAGCTTGTATGCCTCTAATCCATAATGATATGCTGTATGCTTCTAAATTTCTCTTCCTGATTGTAGAAGGAAAGATTGTATAAAAACAGGAATGAGAGCTTTCTTTTCATGTAATATGAAATTGAGAAAGTATTGGAAGAAATACACCTTTTTATTCTTCTGAAATTACTGCACGCCTGCCCTTTGCTGTGAGATGTTCCTTACAAGCATGCTAATTGGGGGAGATATTTCTTAAAACAACTATTAGTGGCAAATAGCAACACTACATTTTTGGAGTTGAAATCTCTTGGTTATAGCTAAAATAGTGTATCTGGATTTACATTAATATGTTTATCCTGAATACAGTGTGATACCTTTTGCGTAGATTTTGTGGAGAACAGATGGGGTCTCTGTAAAATACGCATCTATCATAGAACAAAGATATCTACCACGTCAAATCCAGCACAATGAAAGAAAAAGCAATAGCTTGGGTTTTTTGCACTTAAGAGTTAGTGAAATTGAAGAGTAGAGGCGAGAAGCTATTAGCATTTTATAGCAAGGAACAAAGAAGAAAGTCCAGATAGATAAAACGACGATATATGTAAAACTAAATTCACCTTCTACTCATGCTGAACTAAATCTTCCTCAGCCATTGCATAAGCACAGTAGAGAAGTTTGTAACTAAAAATTAAGAGTCAAAGCAAAAATAACATTTTCTGAGTGCTTTCTTCATCCTTTGGTCCTGCAACTGAGAACAGTGTTGTATCTAGCATGCTGCTCTGAACCATAGGTACTGCCAGAAAATACTTCATGAGAGAATGTTGCAATATGTCACTGCTGAAAAGTGAACATTTCATGAAGTTATTTCAAACTTAGAATTAACAGCATCCGAATGCAGGACTAGCAGGCACAACATGTTGTATTGTAATTCATTTTTGGATGTTGAGCCCGTGTTAGTATTGGACATGTTTTTCTCCTACACCATGAGTATGCCTGGCTTACTTCTCTTGGTGATGTGAGAATTAATTAATCTTCATAAAAGGCTTTGAAGATGAAAAGCACTGTGTATAAGAACACTACATGCTCTCTGAGTTGAAAAACAAACGTGTCAAATATATCTTCCTCCTGCTGAGCAAAGAAGAACAGCAGAAAGGGTATCTGCAATATTTGTTTTAATAATTTAAATATTTTCATTGAGCCATCTTCTGTTGTCCAGAACTAATTAAATCTCTGATGCTAGAACCAGAAGCAGTATTTTTTCCCTTCTTTTTTTAAATTAGTTCTGCTAGTTTACTATAATGTTTTCAGCATACAAGGACTATCTAATGGAATCTCGCTTAGTATAGCACAGAGGTTTCTTCTAAAATTATTTTCTGGGCTTCGCCAATGAGTAAAACTGAAAATAGCACAGGCCTGAGAGGTATCTTCTAAGGACTTGTTCGTGAGAATTAGTGTCCTATTCATTTCTTCTATTCTGCAAATAAATCCTGGAAATGCAGATTGTGTGAGTAATTCAGTTAAGTGTTGGGGTTTTTTTTATTATTTCAATTCCAGTATGCCAAGGTCGCTGGCTAGCTGACTCACCAGATGGAGCTGTAGGCTTGTTATTCTTCACTAGATAGTCATCATTCCATCCCTGAACAATGCTATTGTGTAAATCTAATGTATTCTTTCTTGTCTTATCACTGAAAAAGGCAAGCCACCAGAATGATTTATTAGTGCATTTGCTGGTCTCTGGTGGGAGAATACTAAGATTCCATTTATTCTTGGCTACTTGAAGGAGATCACATCATAGCATTCAGACTGATACTTTCACAAGGTAGCATGTGACTCAGCAAAATTCTTATGAGACAGATAAAAGTTGCTTGGGCAAGGGCGGCTTAGCAGCGTCTTAGAAAAAGAACTGTTTGAGAAGCAAACAAGTTCTTCTTGAACATGTCAGGAACTGAATTCCTGGGCAGCGTGTGAATTATGAGCCATTGTCCACAGATAAGCTTAAATTGCACACATGTATCTGAGGGCCTGGATACCTAACAGAACACCCCTTGGCCCAGGTGTGGGCATAGTGAGCACCAGAAGCTAAAGTGACAGAACAGATTTCAGAAACTGGTTTATATGTGCCTGCCTTCATAGTACAGTGTTGCAATCCAAGAACATCAGGACAGAAGTCTGAGTCCAGAAAGCAGCAACGGATTCAGGCTAAGTATATGATGCAATTTACTCCTTGTACCTGCTTCCCTAATATGTCTGATTCTTTCTTAACATGGCTAAGGGTGGTGTTTTTTCAGCTCCGAAAATAGCATCCCAGTTCTGAATATACAGGATCCAAACTCAGTTCCACCCTGGGGGGGGGAGGGTTCATTCTGAAAGTGTCCTTGATATGTCCTTTTTTTTTTTTTTTCCCAGTGCAAAAATCAATTGTTTGTGGGGGGCTGCAGCCCAAACCATGTCTGCTTTGTTGCAGAAAGTACTGTGAGCAGGCAAACAGCTACAGGATGTGGAAGAATGTTTTTGTAGTTAAGGAATCTGAACGTCTATGGGATTTGGATTCTTTTCTTGCCTGTAGTAGGCTGCCCTCCTAGCTTGTGGACAAGAAGTTTTAAGCGAGAAGCTAAACATAGCTTCTGATTTTTACTTCCATAGACTTTTTGGTATTATTTCTCTCAGTGGGTAATACAGATAAACATTAAGACAGTTAACAGAGGGGATTGTTTAAGTACTTAGAGAAGCTACATCAAGAAAATTTTTATGTTTTATGTGAAAATTGATTACTGTAAATGTGGTTCTCTGTAGTAGGCCTACACTGATAGCTTTTGGAAATATTCTCTAGGCAGACATTAAATGAAAAGAAATTAATAGAAACTGAGCTTCGATAAATAGATACAATTCTGAAGGCATTTAAATAGGGGAGTGAATAGGTAGCAATGGTTCAATGATTACCAGTACTCAGTTTTCTTCTGCTCTCCTCTTCTGCCTTTCAGCTGTACTCCATTGTGCCACAAGCTGTGATCTCACTTTGGATAAGGTC